CTGGAGACGCTGCACCGCTCGGCCAAGATCGGCGAGATCGCCGAGGTGGTGGAGGAGGCCGCCGAGGAGGAGGAGGCGCGGCCGCGACGGCGGGGGAGGCGTCACCGGTGCGAGCGCCGGCGAAGAGGGCCGGCGGCCGGCGGCCGGCCCGCCGCGCCCTGCTCTCGGCGTTTGGCGGCCATCCGCGCCGCGAAGGGGCCGCTGACCAGGCCGGCCGGCGGGGACGACACGAGCTCCGACGGCTCCGAGGATAATAGCCAGGGCGCCGGCCGCTCGCCCGTGCCCTCTTCCCACATCTACATCGACATGCCGCCCCGCCGCAGGAGCAGCGCTTGGAACTGCGCCTCAGGTAAGCACCCACAGTGCCTCTCTGTTCCTTTGTGGATGTTCCTTTGCGCACGTGAATGAACGGGTACACACTTGGCCAACGCTCAAAATGCGTGGCATGGACAGCAGTCTTAAATAGAGAGCAATTATGCTGAATTTACAATCGTTAGCTTCTCCTAAAGCGTAAAATGTTTTAGGCCACTTTAATTTTTATCAACCGTTCACAACTTTCCAGGCCTACTCTAAACAGAAAATATAAAATTGATTCGGCGGCTAGCTTTAGAGAGACGACGTCATGAATGTCAGCTTGGCTGGCTGTTTTTCATAATTTCTTTTAAGGTTATTCAGTCATCGAGAGGTCTCATGTCGGACACGATAACCTGTAGATATACCTGCTCTGATAGATCTGCATTGATTGATTAGCTGGAGTTGATCGCAGTCAACTGCGCTTGCTTCTACTTAAGGCGGTGTGCAGTGCGAATGCCGGAACGTTCACGTACTATCTCACGGGCAATCACTTTCTCGGGCGTCGTGTGAAGATCTGCAGACCGGGCTATCAGCGTCACAGGATCCAGCGTGGCTTTAATGGATGCCAGCTGTCTGTTCTGTCTCGCCTTGTTAAAATACCCGGTTCACTGGCAAAGGCGCCATTTAGAGTGATTTAGATAATAACAGACCAGCGTGAATGACTTGAGAACATCTCCGCAGCGCTCTTTAAACCAGCTGTAAAAATCACGACGCTGGATAGGCAGCTTGCGTGAGCCGTATAGCGCACCTCGGAAATGCGAGGTAGCACTTCACCGGACTAGCCGCGTGCAAGAGACAGCTGGCCTGCCGCTGACAGCAGCTGCACGGTCGGTGATGCGGGTCGCAACTGGTCGGTCCGATCATCCACACAAGGATAGTCGCGCGGCGGTATCTGGGGTATCGCGTGACCCATTCCGTGGATGGTGCGAGGGTGCAGCCCAACGCGAGCCTTCTTTGGTGTGGCGTCTTTGTAGTTTTAAAGAGGCTTCGTAGTGCGAAAGGAAAATGTACTTCACAGGGTATGGGAATCGGGGAATTTTCCTGTAATGTCAACGCTACTTTTCCCTGCCGTGTTGAACTGTGCGTGGCATCATAGCAACAAATTCATTTCGGGTGACTGACTTTTCACACGGTCCATCATCCTCGCTCACCCCAGGCTGGGACCGATTTTCCGACACTCTCAGCAATGAAATTCACGTCGTTAAAAACACTTCCACGCTAGTGTTCCGGACCGTAAAGGCCACGTAACAGACTCCCAGAAAACAGCGCCAGTGGATGAGCATGTGATGGACACCATCCACCAAGATTTGAGGACTGAGGCTGCGCACCGATCCCCCATATGATCTGATGGTTTGCACGTAAGAACTGACTAGACTGGTATTCAGCCTGGCGTCGGTATTGCAACACCGCGCTGGGCGTCTTCGAATATGGAAGCCGAGTGTGCAGAATATTTACCAAAATTGTCAAGAATATATCCACAGGAATGTATGTCAGGTGGGATTTAATGCGTCAAATTCTCAGTCGAATTGCTATTGAGAAGATTTTCGGCGCAAGGAGAAAGGCCACTGTCCAAGTTCGGCGTGCGAATCCCTGTATTTTTTGGTCACATGCGCAAATGCAAAAACTAAATGAACTGAACCCAGTCAAAAATATGCTTTCTAGTACATGGGTAGATCGGCGTCCGTCTGTCTGTCTGTCTGTCTGTCTGTCTGTCTGTCTGTCTGTCTGTCTGTCTGTCTGTCTGTCTGTCTGTCTGTCTGTCTGTCTGTCTGTCTGTCTGTCTGTCTGTCTGTTTGTCTGTCTGTCTGTCTGTCTGTCTGTCTGTCTGTCTGTCTGTCTCTCTCTCTCTCTCTCTCTCTCTCTCTCTCTCTCTCTCTCTCTCTCTCTCTCTCTCTCTCTCTCTCTCTCTCTCTCTCTCTCTCAAACCTGATGACATTTGACGCATTACTAACCTTTTGATCCTCACACTACGCGTTGCTGTTATTAGCGCGGGTGACTACGGATGTTCGGTATTGCCCCACGGAAGTCCGATACGGCCCACGGATCTTCGACATGGCCTACGGAAGTCCGGCACACCGGCGATACTTACAGCATTGGGTCGTGATCTTCCTTTCAAACCCGGTTGCAAATGGATCACAGCGTGTTCCATCTCCATCGTGTCCTTCGGCTACAGACACGCTAGTGCTAACTGTTAACTAGTTCCCAATTGCTATTGTGGTATTTTGGTTAAGTACTTGTGCGCTTTTCTGGCAAATATTGAAGTGTTTTCGAATAAGCTAACTCTGTTTTACCATGCCAATATTCGCTGAATACGATCATTTGGTCTTTTATTCGACTACTTAAACTTCGAATGATCCACTTCACCATTAAGATACTCAGATTCGCAGTGGGGCGTCTTTTCCGACGATCGGCGCCATTGGGACTTTGTGAAACGGCTGAAGCCCGCTGATGTGTTTGGCGGCCTGGGACTGATGTCAGGACCTGATCGGTCGGTCCACCACCACTGAAACAGACCCTGACCATCCCACGGCCAGTCCGGGACCGGAGCCTTACGCTGGAGGAGACCCTGACCAGCCCACGACCAGCCTGGGACCGGATTCTTACGCTGGGGCAGACCCTGACCAGCTCACGGCCAGCCTGGGACCGGAGCCTTAGGCTGGAACAGACCCTGACCAGCCCACGGCCAGTCTGGGACCGGAGTCCTACGCTGGAGCATACCCTGACCAGCCCACAGCCAGTCTGGGACCGGATTCTTACGCTGGAGCAGACCCTGACCAGCCCACGGCCAGTCTGGGACCGGAGTCCTACGCTGGATCAGACCCTGACCAGCCCACGGTCAGCCTGGGACCGGAGCCTTAGGCTGAAACAGACCCTGACCAGCCCACGGCCAGTCTGGGACCGGAGTCTTACGCTGGAGCAGACCCTGACCAGCCCACGGCCAGTCTGGGACCGGAGTCTTACGCTGGAGCAGACCCTGACCAGTCCACGGCCAGTCTGGGTCCGGAGCCTTAGGCTGGAGCAGACCCTGACCAGTCCACGGCCAGTCTGGGTCCGGAGCCTTAGGCTGGAGCAGACCCTGACCAGCCCACGGCCAGTCCGGGACCGGAGTCCTACGCTGGCCGACGGTCACCAGAGTACCACCAGTCGGGCACGTCCTCCTGATCATGATCGGTCCTGTACCAGTCAGGGGAAACACACTGAACGAAGCCGGCCCACCGGCATCCGTCGACACGCCGTCGTTGCCGTCCGCGACAATCCGAGACGACACTCCGCTAATGGCCGTCAGAGAGAGCGTCGGGTCCTAATGGCCCGACATGGACAGCGCGGTCCGTTAGCAAAGCGTTTGGCTTCGCGGTGCGGTGCGGTGCGGCCCGGCCGACCACACCGGCCGGCCGCCGGCAGGGGACGTGCGGCGGCCGGGCGGTCGCCGCCGCAGCTCTCCCACGCGGCCGGAACGGTTCGGCCCTCCTGGCACGCCCGCACCGCGTGATGGACGGGTCCGCTGTGCCAGTTGTGGTGCCGAGCGCGGTCTGCACGGACGCGATGAGTGGATCGCGATGCGGGCGATGCGGGCTCCAACGAGTCGAGGCGTCGCCGCGTTTTTCAGATGTTCGTACGTGTGAATCATGCGCTTCGGTTCAGGATGGATTTTTGCTGTGCACGGTATCCCGAGAACATGACTTAGCCTTGAGCCAGCGTTCTCCCCGGCCAGCTCGTGCTGCCCGCAGATTGACGAATCAGCATCCGGTGGGACCAGTCCGGTATTGTTTGGCTGCTAAAAATCCCCGCTGATAGTTTTTGGGCGCAGGTCTGCCATCATAATAAAGACGATAATCGTCCAGTCATGAGCTTCGTGGCGGACCTCGCTGTCGTAACTATATATTTGCGTTATCAATCAGACAGCATATCAATAAGTTTTCTTCAC